GCACTTATTCTCTGTCCTGCCAGCTTGTGAAAAGCTGCCCTCCACCATGATTGTAAGTTTTCTAAGGCCTCCCCAACCATGTGGAACTGTGAGTCAATTAAGCCTCTTTTCTTTATAAATTACCCAGGCTTGGGTATTTCTTTGTAGCAGTATAAGAAAGGACTAATATAGTAAATTAGCACAACAGAATGGGATGCTGCTATAAGATACCCAAAAATGTGGAAGTTACTTTGGAACTGGGTAACAAGTGGAGGTTGGAATATTTTGGAGAGCTCAGAAGAGAGGAAGATGTAGGAAGGTTTGGAACTTCCTAGAGACTTGTTGAATGGCTTTGACCAAACTGCTGATGTTGATATGGACAATGAAGTCTAGGCTGAGGTAGTCTGAGATGGAGATGAGAGACTTGTTGGAAACTGGAGTAAAGGTCACTCTTGCTATGCTTTAGCAAAGAGCCTGGTGGCATTTTGCCCCTACCCTAGAGATCTGTGGGACTTTGAACTTGAGAGTGATGATTTAGGATATTTAGCAGAAGAAATTCCTAAGTTGCAAAGCATTTAAGAGGAAGCACACCATAAAAGTTTGGGAAAATTGCAGCCTAATGATCACAACTGATAATGAAATAGGAAAAAAAAAACATTTTCTGGGGAGGAGAAATTAAGCCTGCTGCATAAATTTGCATAAATAATGAGGAGTAGAATGTTAATCACCAAGACAATGGGGAAAATGTTTCCAGGGCATGTCAGAGACCTTTGTGGCAGCCCCTCCCATCACAGGCCTGGAGATCTAGGAGCGAAAAATGGCTTTGTAGTGCCAGCCCAGGGACACCCTGTTCTATGCAGCCTTGAGACATGGTGCCCTGCACCCCAGCTGCTTCAGCTCAAGCCATGTCTGATGGAGGCCAAGGTATAGCTCATGACATTGCTTTAGAGGGTGCAAGCTCCAAGCCTTGGCAGCTTACATGGGATATTGGGCCTACAGGTGCACAGACATCAAGAAGTGAGCTTTGGAAACCTCCACCTAGATTTCACAGGATGTATAGCAGTGCCTGGATACCCAGGCAGAAGTTTGGTCCAGTGGTGGAGCCCTCATGGAGAAACTCTGCTAGAGCAGTGCAAGGGAAAATGTGGTGTTGGAGCCCCCACACAGAGTCCCACTGGGGCACTATCTGGTGGAGCTTTGGGAAGAGGACCACAATCCTCCGGTCACAGAATGGTAGATTCACTGACAGCTTGCACTATGTGCCTGGAAAAGCAGTAGACCCTCAATGCCCCCGATGAAATCACCTGGGAGGGGGACTGTAACCTTGCAAAGCCCCAAGGGCAGAGCTTCACAAGGCTATGGGAACCACCTCTTGCATCAGCATAACCTGGATGTGAGACATGGAATCAAAGGAGATCATATTGGAACTTTAATGTTTAATGATTGGATTTAGGATTTGCATGGGGTCTGTAGCCCCTTTGTTTTAGCCAGCTTCTACCAGTACCCCCATTGTATCTAGGAAGTTACTAACTTGCTTTTGATTTTACAGGCTAATAGGTAGAAGGAACTTGCCTTGTCTCAGATGAGACTTTGGACTTGGACTGGGACTTTTGAGCTAATGCTGTAATGAGTTAAGACTTTGGGGCACTGTTGGAAAGACATGATTGTGTTTTGAAATGTCAGCACATGAAATTTGGGAGGGGACAGGAGTGGAATGGTATTATTTGTTTCTTCGTCCCCACCCAATCTCACTTTGAATTATAATAATCCCACATGTCATGGGTGAGACCAGTTAGGTGTAGGTAATTGGATCTTGTGAGTTAGTCTCACAAGATGTAATGGTTTTATAAGTGTCTGGCCTGTCCCCTACTTGCACTCATTCTCTCTCCTACCACCCTATGAAGGGGTGCCTTCTACCATGATTGTAAGTTTCCTGAGGCCTCCCTAGCCACATAGGACTGTGAACCAATTAAACCTCTTTCATTTATAAATTACCCAGTCTTAGGTATTTCTTCATAGCTGCATGGGAATGGACTAATACATCATTATAATTACAGGATAGTAATTTTTACAGTCATTTCAATCAAAATGGAATTACACTATAAAGGAATTTAGATTCAAGTTTTTAATCAAAAATTTTAAGCTTTTTTTTTCTTTAATAAAGTTATAAATTAGTTATGATTCTTTATAGGATTTTACACAGTAATATTTTACTTCATTACAATTAGACAATATTGTAAAGCAGCTAGCATATGGTAGCTACTGAACTGTTAATGTTCCTTTTCATTTCCTTTTTACTAAAAATTTTCATTATTAAAATTGTTTTCCATTTAGAAAAGTATAGATACTTGAAATGCTACAGGATATGGTAATATAGTCTATCTAAAAATTAAAACTTAAAATATTTAGTTTTATTCTTAACAACTCAAAAATTGAGAGAAGATATTTTTAAGAAAAGTCACCTTTCTTACATTCAAAGCTAGCAAAGATTACAGAGGAGGTAGAAACAACAGATACTTTAAAATCAATGTGCAAAAATCACAAACATTCCTAAACACCAATAACAGACTTAAAGAGAGCGAAACCAAGAATGAACTGCCATTCACAATTGCTACAAAGAGAATAAAATACCTAGGAATACAACTAACAAAGAATGTAAAGTGCCTCTTCAAGGAGAACTACAAACCACTGCTCTTTGAAATAAGAGAGGACACAAACACAGGGAGAAACATTCCATGCTTATGGTTAGGAAGAATCAATATCATGAAAATGGCCATACTGCCCAAAGTAATTTATAGATTCAACGCTATCCCCATTCAGCTACCAATGATCTTCTTCACAGAACTGGAAAAAACCACCTTAAACTTCATATGGAACCAAAAGAGAGCCCACATAGCCAAGACAATCCTAAACAAAAAGAACAAAGCCGGAGGCATCACGCTATCTGACTTCAAACTATACTACAAGGCTACAGTAATCAAAAGAGCATGATACTCGTACCAAAACAGAGATATAGACCAATGGAACAGAACAGATGTCTCGGAGGCAATACCACACATTTACAACCATCCAATCTTTGACAAACCTGACAAAAACAAGCAATGGGGCAAAGATTCCCTGTTTAATAAATAGTGTTTGGAAAACTCGCTAGACATGTGCAGAAAAGAGAAACTGGACCCCTTCCTGACACCTTACACTAAAATTCACTCCAGATGGATTAAGGACTTAAACAAAAGACCTAACACCATAAAAACCCTAGAAGAAAACCTAAGCAAAACCATTCAGGACATAGGCATAGACAAGGACTTCATGACTAAAACACCGAAAGCATTGGCAACAAAAGGCAAAATGGACAAATGAGACCTGATCAAACTCCGCAGCTTCTGCATTGCAAAAGAAACAGTCATTAGAGTGAATTGGCCACTAACAGAATGGGAAAAATTTTTGCAATGTACCCATCTGACAAAGGGCTAATATCCAGAATCTACAAAGAACTAACACAGATTTACAAGAAAAAAACAAGCCCATTCAAAAGTGGGCAAAGGATATGAACAGATACTTTACAAAAGAAGACATACATGAGGCCAACAAACATATGAAAAAATTCTCATCATCACTGGTCATTAGAGAAATGCAAATCAAAACTACATTGAGATACCACCTCATGCCAGTTAGAATGGCGATCATTAAAAATCTGGAGATAGCAGATGCTGGAGAGGATGTGGAGAAATAGGAACACTTTTACACTGTTGGTGGGAGTGTAAATTAGTTCAACCATTGTGGAGGACAGTGCGATGCTTCCTCAAGGAACTAGAAATAGAAATTGCATTTGACCCAGCAATCCCATTACTAAGTATATATCCAAAGGATTATAAATCATTCTATTATAAGGACACGTGCACATGAATGTTCATTGTAGCACTGTTTACAATAGCAAAGATTTGGAACCAACCCAGATGCCCATCGATGATAGACTGGACAGGAAAAATGTGGCACATATACACCATAGAATACTATGCAGCGATAAAGAACAATGAGTTCATGTCCCCTGTAGGGACATGGATGAACCTGGTAACCATCATTCTCAGCAAACTGACACAAGAACAGAAAATCAAACACTGCATGTTCTCACTCATAGGTGGGTGTTGAACAATAAGATCACATGGACACAGGGAGGGAAGCATCACACACTGGGGTCTGTGGGGAGGAAATATGGGAGGAATGGGGGGGTGGGGTGTTGGGAGGGATAACATGGGGAGAAATGCCAGATATAGTGATAGGGAGGATGGCAGCAAATCACATTGCCATGTGTGTGCCTATGCAACAATCTTACATGTTCTTCATATGTACCCCAAAACTTAAAATGCAATAAAAAAGGGAAAAAAAAACCAGAAAAAAAAAAAGAAGTACTCAAAAAATAAAAAATAAAAATAAATCAATCAGTTCAAAAAAATAAATAAATAAATAAAAGTTATCAGAAGTAATTATTTTATTCTAGTTTATTCTTCTAAATAAAACACTATAGATATGTTTAAATGTTTTACCTACATACATATCCTTCAAATGGACCACGTAAAAAGATAGTATGTATCAGTAACTTATAGTTGTAGGTATTAAAGTAGTTGATCATATTTCATTTAAAATTTTTCTGGACTCTTTTATGTAGGAGCATAGATTACATCAACAGTGAACACTAGCTCAAACATACCAGTTCAGTGCATTAAGTAAATTTCTGCATTTTCTGATATATGCGTCTAAGATATAGGCCAGCATTATGAGCTAATGAGAAATGTTACATTTCTGTATGATAATGGTTTTTAAGACTTTTGCTTGTGGCTTTGGTTAATTATGTTAAAGATGAATGTTTGGATCTGTTTTGACTATAAAGGTATCTGATTTGACTATGATACGACTTTAGAACAAACTTCCTTTAAAAAATTAATCCCACTTAACCATGTTTGTTTTTATATGGATTTATAGTCTTGTTTCTTCTTTCAAAGTATTTTTCTTTTAAATCTTAGCATGTACACCACAGAATCAAAAAGTGAACATTTGGAGGATGAAAACTTCCAAACATCTACAACTCCTCAGGTAAAAAAAATCATACATTGTAAGTTTTCACTCACCTTAATATGATATAAAATCAATTTGATCTTAAAATTTATTTCTATAGTTTACTTATTAGCTAGATTTCTTTTATGTATATGGTTAAAAATGAAAAGTGGTAAATTTAAAAATAGTTTTAATGGATCCTAGGAAATGAGCAGAAATAATGAAACAAATGAAAAAGAGTGACTATAGAGTATTTTAGAGCTAAAGAGCGCATGTTTTAGGAATAAGGAGAAATGTCGCTTATTATTTCTTGCCACATTCAGGGAAAACTCAGTAACTTAAATTAACAGGTAAAGATAAGTCTAGATTAATTAAAATGTTTTGCTGTGTACTTTGAAGTGACCCAAGTTTCTTATTTCTATAGATATATAGAGCAAGTGATTAGAACTTTTGTCGATCTAGTTTTACTTAGTAATAATTACTCATAATGACAATTGTAAATTTCATTTTTTTAAAACAGAGATTTCTACAGTGAGGATCAAAAAGTCCTTTTAAAAAATATTTTAAATATTCACTGAGTCTATCTGTGAAGAAGTCATTTTAGTCTATATCAGTTTATTACAAATTCTAAAATAATATGGTTTTACTATATATGACCTTTCACTCGCCTTAATATTCACAATTGTCATTTTCCGTTTTATATGGTAACAGAATTTTCACAAAAAGCCTCTATACCAGAGCTCCAATACATTAATGATGTTCAGATTTGAATAACTTTGATGTTAAAGAGCTACATAATTCATTTTTAGCCATCAGCTGCCTTGATATCTTTGTCTTCTGAGTCATTACATGTAAAATTCCTTCCTCAGTGTGTCTATGCACTCTAGCATTTTTACTGTTTCCTGTGATGATGTGATGTTTCCTCTTTTACTCACTCAAAGTATTCACTCAAATTGCTGGTACATACACACTAATACCCACCCACTCATGACAACCATAAGGCAAATTTGGAGATTTATATTGCAGAGTTAACTCTACTCTGGTGTTTTGTTTTTATCAGTTTATTTTTTTTTTTTTTTTTTTACACTGCAAGAAGTTTCTCAATATTCTTACAAACCAAAGATTCCTTTTTTTTTTTTTTTTTTTTTCCAAAATCAGCAGTTTTATAATAGACTAGCATTAAAAGGCCTAGGAGATTAAGGTATACCCTTGTACTATCTGATATGTTATCTATAAATATTAGTGGAAGCATGCCTGAATTTCTGAAGGCTTGACTTATGTTTTTCTCATTTTTCTTTCATTTATATAAATTTCCAAATGAAATGAATCCAAATAAAGTTATATTTCTCCTCCTTTCCAATTAAGTTGTATTTTTATTTCACAAGAGTTTTGGTGAATAATCTTTGGGAGGTATACGGAGGATGGACACTTGTCATTATTATGCCCAAATAATTATGGCACCTTTAATTAGTATACACAAATGATGATTGAAAATGCTGGGTACTCAAGTCTATAAAAGGTTAAATCAAGGTACCTCGCAAAATACACTGGTGTTGCATCCCCAAATACCTACTGATGTGGAGCATGAATCTTCTTTTCTATATGTGATTCCTCGCATTGACAGTAGTAATATAAATTTAATTCTAAAATTTGGTAGTTTAGTACATTCATAAAATTATACAAAAAGTATAATTCCTAAAAGATTTTCTTGTTTTACTTCAGAGTCTCATTGATCCTAATAGTATTGCACATGGAGAAACTAAAACTGTCCTATCAGATACAGAAGAAACAAAACCACAGACAAAAAAGAAGACATACATTTCTTGTCCTCTAAGAGGAGTATTGAATGTAATTATTACAAATGGTATGTGAAATAGGAAATGTAACGGAAGAGAAAATGAGAAATATGGTTGATAAATATTAAAACACAAGACAATAAGACACTACTTAATCGATATACTCCAGATCAGATGATCAGCTCTGTTACAGGCAATATGTGAACAAAAAGGAAATATTTTCTTGAATCTTTCAGACAAAAACAGAAAAAAAAAATATTGAGGCCAGGCGCGGTGGCTCAAGCCTGTAATCCCGGCACTTTGGGAGGCCGAGGCGGGTGGATCACGAGGTCAAGAGATCGAGACCATCCTGGTCAACATGGTGAAACCCCGTCTCTACTAAAAATAAAAAAAAAAAAAAAAAATACTGCCTAAGTGGTGTATGTTTTAATATTTGTCATGCCTTTTTATGTTAATTCTTTGGGATTAGAAGGAGCATTAATTAAAGGGTTTTATTTAAAACCTACTTTGACATTTAGTTATAAGTTAGCTAGAAAGAACATTATAATCTTGGAAATATGTTTCTTATTAAAATTGGGCCCTAAGTTTTAAAACAACTACAACCTTGTGAAAAGTTAAATGACACTTGATTTTCCACTAAAATTTTAAAGCATATTGTCATCAACAAATACTTATAAAGAGGTTTTCTTGTGTGTGTGTGTGTGTGTGTGTGTGTGTGTGTGTGTGTGTGTGTGTGTTTAAGTATTCTGCTTTATTAAACCTACAAGAGAAAGATATTTTGGTTTCCAGAAGCATACAGAATTTTGTTCCCTACAGAAAACAAAAAGTTCATTGAAAATGATAAAGGATAAGTAACTGAAGTTTTAAATTTTTATTTTCTTATTTGCTGCTTGGTAACTTTAAACTTTTGAAAGCAAATTTTATTCATTGATTTTTTTCATTAGTAAAGATTGCCTTTAAATTTTCATCAATATATTCTAATATTGACTATATTGATCAAAATTTTCTGTGAACTTGAATAGTCCCCATCTGCCAGTGTAAGTGATTGGACTCCTTTGTAAAAATGCATATGTTCCCATGACCTGATCTATTTAGAAGGCAATTTCTACAGAGCAGTTGTTAAGAGTAGGGCCAGGGCCTGCAGCAGAGAGGAACATGTATTTGTTACCAAACATTATACACTGAGTGTGGACTACAATTTGCTCAGGAACTAGTTGAGGAGTTCTAGAACATCAGTACTAAAACTTTATACTTAGATAAAGGCTTAGATAATATAACTCCTTTCCCCCTTTGTTTTCTTTCATTTTTGATTTTCAGTTTGGGAGACATTTATAGGAAAAGGAGATTTTCTTTATTTCTATTTGGGGGTGCCTATTCTTGCACTCTCTTTTTTAAAATCAATCTCTGTCTCTCTCTCTCTCTCTCTCTCTCTCTCTCTCTCTCTCTCAACCAACTCCCTACATACTTGCTGCCTCCTTTATACAAAAAGTATAGAATCTCTCTGGGTATGCTTAGAAGATATCAATGTTAGGAATCCCACTCTATCACATCATGGAATAAGTAATATACAACTATCTGTAAGCGATAATTTATTTTTTTGTGCATAATTTTTTTTATTATTGTGCTTTAGGTTTTGGGGTACACGTGCAGATTATGCAGGATTGTTGCATAAGTACACACATGGCAATGTGGTTTGCTGCCTCCATCTCCCCATCACCTACATCTGACATTTCTCCCCATGTTATCCCTCCCCAACCTCCCCATCCCCCTTCTGTCCCTCCCTTGCTCCCTCAACAGAATCCAATGTGTGATGCTCGCCTCCCTGTTTATATGTGTTCTCATTGTTCAACACCTGCCTATGAGCGAGAACATGCGGTGTTTGATTTTCTGTTCTTGTGTCAGTTTGCTGAGAATGATGGTTTCCCAATTCATCCACGTCCCTACAAAGGACCGGAACTCATCATTTTTTATGGCTGCATAGTATTCTATGGTGTATATGTGCCATATTTTCCCTGTCCAGTCTATCGTCAATGGGCATTTGGGTTGGTTCCAGATCTTTGCAATTGTAAACAGTGCCTCAGTGAACACATGTGTGTATGTGTCTTTATAATAGAATGAATTATAATCCTTTGGATGTATACCCAGTGATGGGATTGCTGGGTCAAATGGAATTTTTATTTCTAGGTCCTTGAGGAAGCACTACCCAGTCTTCCACAATGGTTGAACTAGTTTACACTCCCCCAACAGTGTAAAAATGTTCCTATTTCTCCACATCCTCTCCAGCATCTGTTGTCTCCAGATTTTTTAATGATTTCCATTCTAACTGGTGTGAGGTAGTATCTCATGCGGTTTTGATTTGCATTTCTCTAATGACCAGTGACAATGAGCATTTTTTCATATGTTTGTTGGCCTCATATGTGTCTTCTTTTGTAAAGTGTCTGTTCATATCCTTCTCCCAATTTTGAATGGGTTTGTTTGTTTGTTTGTTTTTTCTGGTAAATCTATTTTAGCTCTTTGTAGATTCTGGATATTAGCCCTTTGTCAGATGGGTAGATTGCAAAAATTTTTTCCCATTCTGTTGTTTGCCAGTTCACTCTAATGATTGTTTCTTTTCTTGTACAAAAGCTCTGGAATTTAATTAGATACCATTTGTCTATTTTCACTTTTGATGCCAATGCTTTTGATGTTTTAGTCATGAAGTCCTTGCCTATGCCTATGTCCTGAATGGTTTTGCCTAGGTTTTCTTCTAGGATTTTTATGGTGTTAGTTCTTTTGTTTAAGTCTTTAATCCATCTGGAGTGAATTTTAGTGTAAGGCGTCAGGAAGGGGTCCAGTTTCTCTTTTCTGCACATGGCTAGCGAGTTTTCCGAACACTATTAAACAGGGAATCTTTGCCCCATTGCTTGTTTTTGTCAGGTTTGTCAAAGATTGGATGGTTGTAGATGTGTGGTGTTGCCTCCGAGACATCTGTTCTGTTCCATTGGTCTATATCTCTGTTTTGGTACCAGTACCATGCTCTTTTGATTACTGTAGCCTTGTAGTATAGTTTGAAATCAGGTAGCGTGATGCCTCTGGCTTCATTCTTTTTGCTTAGGATTGTCTTGGCTATGTGGGCTCTCTTTTGGTTCCATATGAAGTTTAAATGGTTTTTTCCAGTTCTGTGAAGAAGGTCATTGGTAGCTTGATGGTGATAGCATTGAATCTATAAATTACTTGGGGCAGTATGGCCATTTTGAGGATATTGATTCTTCCTAACCATGAGCATGGGATGTTTCTCCCTGTGTTTGTGTCCTCTCTTATTTCGTTGAGCAGTGGTTTGCAGTTCTCCTTGAAGAGGTCCTTTATAGCCTTTGTTAGTTGTATTCCTCGGTATTTTATTCTCTTTGTAGCAGTTGTGAATGGGAGTTCGCTCATGATTTGGCTCTCTGTTAATCTGTTATTGGTGTATAGAAATGCTTGTGATTTCTACACATTGATTATGTATCCTGAGACTTTGCTGAAGTTGCTTATCAGTTTCAGGAGATTTTGGCCTGAGATGATAGGGTCTCCTAAATATACAATCATGTCATCTGCAAATGGAATTTGACTTCCTCTTTTCCTAACTGAATGCCCTTTATTTTTTTTTCTTGCCTAATTGCTCTTGCTAGAACTTCCAATACTATATTGAATAGGAGTCGTGACAGAGGGCATCCTTGTCCAGTTCCAGATTTCAAAGGGAATGTTTCCAGTTTTTGCCCATTCAGTATGATATTGGCTGTACGTTTGTCATAAATAGCTTTTATTATTTTGAGATATGTTCCTTCGATACCTAATTTATTGAGAGCTTTTAGCATAAAACGCTGTTGAATTTTGTTGAAAGTCTTTTCTGCATCTATTGAAATAATCATATGGTTTTTGTCTTTGGTTCTGTTTATGTAGTGGATTACATTTATAGGCTTGCATATGTTGAACCAGCCTTGCATTCCCAGGATGAAGCCTACTTGATCATGATGGATAAACTTTTATGTGCTGTTGCAATTGGCTTGCCAGTATTTTATTGAAGATTTTTGCATCTATGTCCATCACGGGTATTGGCCTGAAGTTTTCTTTTTTTGTTGAGTCTCTGCCGGGTTTTGGTAACAGGATGATGTTG